TTTGCCCAATCAGGTGCAGGAAAATAGGACGTAAAACCCGTTACATTAATGTCATTTCCCCGGCACCCCGTGCCCATCTCATGTTCATAACATTGTCCGACTTCATTGAGACATAGGACATCTAACTACGAATACACGATAGATACGATACGCACTATCAGTCCAATGTGCCAACAATTGTTACCTAAGATGTGGTCAAAACTATTTTTCAATTCAGGGAAATTTACAAATGTTACGCTAATATATCTGTTTTGTTGGAGCATCACGTTCATTCAAAATCAACAAATCGTGACCTAAATGACCTACATGATATTATCATCTATTACTACATTGCCCCTGTTTAAAGAGATGGCAGCTGCGATGGCTTAGTGACTTATATACTCGCTCACCTGAAGGTCCAGAGTTTTACCCCGGCATGGGTTGAGATAAAGCCTTGGATATTCATCTCGGATTTTCCTGCAAGAAATGCAGGTCGGAGGGGTTGACATGGAAAAGCGTTTGATTGGCCAACTTCCTCGGAAAAATTTCTTATTGGCCCAAAGATGGACAAAATGTATATAAAACTCAATTCCTTTCTGTTCAAAGGGTCGACCATTCCACCAGGAGGATCTGGGAGCAACTTGATCTTCAATGACTGGTAGTAGGCTATCTTGGAGAATCTGGGGCCCTACAGAAATACAGTAATCTGATTGGATAATGAAACTTAAAGGGACAGACGCGCCAATTTTTTTACCAATCATACTTTAGTCTCACAACAGTAATCTTTTTGTCTAAGCCAATCAGTAATAGTGTCACAGCTCACCGTCGACATTTAAGCCTTCAAATTCATGTGTGTCCAAAATTAACCACGTTTGAAAGTTAAAAAAGACGAGTCTTACATTTCTAGTACTTCTGAGCACTATTTGCATATGTTCAAGATTCACCCCCACCCCCCCCCCCCCCCTAAAAATGGCCCTTTAACACTATTTGGTTTTAAGTTTTCGGGACTAAGGCCCCAGGTCAATAGGTGGATTTAGTCGACCTGAGTGTACTGCTTATTGATAAAAAGTTGTCACCCGCGGCACATGTTCTACTTTCTAACAATCAAAAGATATCGTCGTCGACCTATACGATACGAACACCCGGTTGATCTTAGTTGCTACTGGGGGGTCGAAAGCTTCAACCAGTCCGACTCTCGGAAAAACTGGCCGAATTTTTCCTAACTTGAGGACATTTTGAACCCTCGGCATCTATTCACCAAGCAGTCGACAATCCTACTCGCTACCGACTAAGCTATTCCACTACCACAAAAAGACAGTGTTCCAAAACATAGTTCGAAAATTGTGGAGAGGGGTATCCTGTTCCCAATCCTTTTCATAATGTATCTCTATCTATATATATATATATGAATAAAATATTGTTTACAAAAAAAAAAGTTCGAAAATTGATAACCCCTTGAAGGAGATTCATATTGCCTGGCGAGGGCCTTAATTCTTGGCGACATATTTCAAAAATTATACTGATGAAATCATTTATATACGCCTTTTCAAATTGCATTGCTTGACGTTAAAGATTAATAGACTGTGTTAATGGAACAAAGTGAACGTGGCAAAGTGATTTTATTCGTTTGTGACGACCACCTTGGAATAAGGGCCATATGGTAGGTAGAATTGTTTCAAATTATGTGTAACACAGACAAAATCAAGTCAAAGCCTCGTCAATTTCACGTCAAGACAATCGCACGTCAATATGGCAATGACACCATCTCTAAAATGAGTCATAGTGCAACTCAATTTTTTCGTGTTTAAAATACACTCTGATGCTCATCACACCATTTCATAGTGCATGTGTCAAATACATAATGCGTTATCTTGTCAATTTGAAACGAGTTTTCCCGGTAAATTACTTACGAGTATATAGAGCTTTATTTAAAGTGGACTGAAAGAAGACCCATTTTCTTGCAACTAATCAATACAGCTCACGACATTCTTACGTGGCATTTACGACATAGCGATTAGTAACTACGTATGGTCGCGAATATGAATAACGATCAAAAATTTCGAACACGTCACTAATCGCGAAATATTATGCATCATCACATAAAGCCATTCGTGATAATGACGTCATCAAACACTTGGTTTAAGTGGAAATTGCAGGTACCACAGACTCCTGATTGAAAATCGAAATGGTGCAAATTGATGCTATCAATGTACCACATACACATAAAAGATTTCGAAAAGCTCTTTAAAATCCCTTTAAAACCCCCAAAGATCAGACCATATCATATCAGTAAGATATCAACTACAATATAAACCCACTTTTTGCGATAAACAAATTATCAGCTGATCGAGATAGGTGAATCATTTTACGGCTGGTGGAGGTAGGGTTTACATGTACGTAATAATATTAACGTAAATGTTTATTAATCGTTAAGCGACATTTAAGAATATAAATCACATTAAATAACGGACCTAAAAAAGGATAATACCTCTAAGAATAGACATAAATTTTTATAGTCTCAAACTTGGGCGATAAATGTATATATTCATCAGTTGGAATTACCATGGTGTCATGACTAAAGAATATAATCTCTATATAAGACGGTATATCCATTAAACTAAATAATTATTTAAAAATGTTTCTAAGAATGTTTCAAAATTACTATTACTCCAAGGTTTAATGAATTACAAATTAATTTTATGGATTTATTGAATATTTACATTAGCTATTATTTTTTCCATTGGACTAATACAAATTCGTGTGGCGTTTATATCACCATAAACGTCATTGCCTCATGACCAAAACATTGACGTAGTAAATGTAACTAATGACGTCGTTATTCATTGACGTCATTGTATCAAATAGACGATCTCCGAAGTAAACAATCAATCAACAATCGGTAGTCCCAAACGTTTAAACGTAAAGAAATATGCCCTACTTAAATTCATACAAAAGTCTTGTATCAAATTAGAATATCTTGAAAACGTAAATATAAACAATACCCTATGGCTGTTATGGTCGTATATGCATTTATTCAATTTTCCAGCCAACCTTTGCCCTGATATACGACCATAACCGCCATATAACAGTGTATTGCTTAAATAGAGATATACTGTTTTATAGTTTTGACTAAAATTGATTTTAGGGATAGAAAGTCCCGACCTGTCAATCAAATAATGACGTCGTAATGTATCCAACCAATCAAATCATCGTCGTCTGTAAAGACACAAGGTCAGTCTGCCGTCACGTCGCCATCTTGTTCCACATCAAAACAAATCGACGTCGAAGGGATTTTTATGAATTTCTTACATTATTAATGACCTTAAATGCTGACATATCCAAGCACACGTTTATCTTCTTAATTCACCCTACTACTAAAATTACAAACTGATAACTGATGTTACTAATGGATTTCATTAATTATGAAGCGTGAGGAAACAAGACTCCGAGACAGCGTGAGAGAGTAGTGGAGTGGAGAAGTTGATGTCAACAAACACAAATCGGTAATTATTGCTTGAGTAAATTTGTAAAAAAATCATTTGACTCTCGAATCCTTGACTTGTTTTTTTGACATGCAGATTGCGCGACGTTAGTATGATTAGTGTCGCTTTCGACTGTGGAGTCGAGTTTGATCTCTGACTTAATTTTAGTCTACTAAATTTAGTGTCTTGTCTTAACTTGTCACAGAAACTCATTCTAAGTTAAGGGTGGCATTCCTGAAAAGATAAATAATAATAAATTTAAATTGAGAATATATTTTTGGCTTACTTACATTAGGCCTCAAAGATCTGTATTATGGGCGATATTATAGCATAGGCCTACCCGTGACGTGTGTAGATCTAGGTCTATCAAAATTTTCTTGGTCTAGCCTAGGCCGAGTTCAACTCAATTAGTTGTTTTGAACTTTGTTTTTTTATCTACATAACAGTCTCTAGGCCTATGAACGGTCTTTTACTTAATTAACCTACGGAAGACCATTATTATGTCTAAGTAGTGAGATAAAACACGAGCCTTGACAAGTCAAGACCAGAGACTAAATTTAGTAGAGGACTAAGAGATCGAATTTGACTCCACCATCGAAAACTACTCTATTCATGTCACAAAAACAAGTCAAGGATTCGAGAGTGAACTGATTTTTTTTACGAATTTACTCAAGCAATAATTACCGATTTGTGTTTGTTGACATCAGATTCTCCACTGTACTAGGCCTACTCTCTCACTCACGCTGTCTCGGAGTCGCCGGTCCGTTGTTTCCTCACGCTTCATAATTAATTAAATCCATCAGTAACATTGATCAGTTTGTAGTTTTAGTAGTAGGGTGAATTAAGAAGATAAACGTGTGCTTGGATATGTCAGCATTTAAGGTCATCCACACACATTTATAATATAAGAAATTCATAAAAATCCCTTCGACGTCGCTTTGTTTTGATGTGGAACAAGATGGCGGCGTGACGGCAGACTGACTTTGTGTCTTTACAGACGACGATGATTTGATTGGTTGGATACATTACGACGTCATAACTTGATTGACAGGTAGGGACTATCTATCACTATAATCAATTTTAGTTAAAATGGACTAAAATCAAATTTTGAATTAAAACTAATTTTGAAGAATACCACTTTATTTAAGTTAAAATCGAATTTTAACTAAAATCAATTTTAGTGATTTTAAGTTAAGCCGCCGAGAATAAGGCCACAGGTAATTCCACCGCTGCCGTTCCGCTTTTGTAGCTGAAAGATTAAGCCATGTTTTTTGTCGATTAAATATGAATTGCAATCCCTTGTCTGTTTACAAAAAATTAAACTATCTTTTGTGTCGTTTAATCCATTGTTATTTTTTCTAATTTCAGAATATGGAAACCAAATCAGGAAGTCGTTTGAAGTCATTTTGGTTATTTTTGGCCAAAATAGCCTTGGTAACATTAGTACAAGAAGAATCAACCAAAACAGAGGAACAAGAAAATACAGTCACGGCTGTTTCACAAGAGACTGATGAGTTATCCAAGACCCATCTGCCAAATGAACTTCCAACCATAATAGACATTAAAAGAGCAATTCCTAGTCACTGCTTTCAGTCCAATGTTATCACCTCAATGTACCATGCGATGAAGGACGTCGTATTCGTCATAGGACTTTACATTTTGGGAGAGCTTCTGTTGACGTATCTTCCTTTCTGGGCAGTTCTAGTCACAGCACCAGTGTTTTGGTTTGCTCAGGGAACAATGTTTACAGCACTATTCGTGATTGGTCATGATTGCGGACATGGTTCGTTCTCGAAATACGATCTGTTGAACGACACTGTGGGTACTGTTATGCATTCGTTTCTGATGACGCCCTACTACGGATGGAAGGTGTCCCATAAGAACCACCACAAAAACACTGGAAACATTGACAAAGATGAGGTTTTCTACCCAGTAAGGAAAAGTTTGAAAACTCCCGGCAGAGCACTTCCAGGCTTTGGACTTGGATTGGGCTATTTTGGATATCTTGTTTTCGGCTATAACCCACGACCAGTTAGACATTTCAATCCTTTCGAGAAAATCTTTTCCAAACATGTCCTCGGATGCATCCTATCTCTAGTGACCCTTACGGTTTGGAGTTCCTACGTGTACCAGTATTACATGATCTTTGGGTTCTTCCGATTATTCTACCATTATATTGTGCCTTTATTCATCTTTGCTACCAACACTGTTCTTATAACATTTCTGCACCACACCGAAGAGGAAATTCCTTGGTACTCCGATAGCAAGTGGGACAACGTTCGTGGACAGTTAAGCTCCGTTGATCGTCACTATGGAATCGTCCACGATATTTTGCACAACATCACCACCCATCAGATACATCACTTATTCCCAAAGGTTCCTCATTACCATCTTGAAGAAGCAACTAGTCATTTTAGAGCAGCATTTCCAGAACTAGTCAATATCCGCACGGATCGAACATTTCCAGCGTTCTACCGAATGTTCAAGAAATACGTCAAACAGTGTGTCATTCCGGACAATACTCATGTACATATTTATACATAATTTTATCAAATGTTCCACCTACTGCCAAATGTATTGGATGTAAAATTTAAGTAGAGCTATTTGCAATCGTGTAACATTTTTCGTAAAATTGGTTGATCATACGAAGCTGCATATCGTTCTTCCATTGAAATAACACACACGAACGTAAAATGCTGAAATATTACCCCAAAGCTTTCAAATCACATTTAAAAGCCATTTCCAAACCTTTAAATATGACTTAAAGGCTTAGTTAAAATATTATTGCCTTATTCATAATTCGGCTGACAATCGAGGAAGAGATTCAAAATGATTGTGAACTACGTTAGTGTGTGTTATTTCCATGTAAGAACCATACGTAGTTTCATATGATTGGTTGATCAAACGATTACCGATGGCATCAACAAAAGATACATAATTTTATTGAGATATGATTGAATGTAATTATTATTTAGTTGTAAAAAACTAAATTAAATAAATTTTCTTATTTTGTCATAATTAAGCTACATATGGCAATTATTTTCGTCTGTTTAAGTTGAAGGGGCAATATGCTACTTACATATATGTATACATATGATCAATCTGAATTTGTTTGAAAGGGGTTAATTAAAAACGGAGCGTACTAACTGTCAAGCAGTTTAAATCCAGTTTTAGCGTTTGGCCCTGTAATGGTGGGGATATATTTTGCTCTACAATTCGACGTGGATAAAAAAAATAGCGACGTTAAAGTGTTTACGTAAACCTTTTAACTAGATTTGATGATCTAATATTAATGGCAAGATACCTTTATTCATGACGATGACGACACACGTGTAATTTGTGTTTAAACATTATGTGTTTAATATTTTATTAAAGAAGTGTGTTAATATAATATTGTCATGTGTTTGTGATATTTACGTTCTATATCAAAGATACTTTTAAGTTAAAACTTTCAGATTAGTAAAGGGTCACATTTCTTTAGATTTTGATGTGTAGTTAAGCAAAAAAGTTTGAATAAATCAAAATACCCTTATCCTTAGTATACTGAAAAAGCAGAAATCACATATAAACAACGAATTTATTATAACCGGTAAAAAAAAAACAGAATAGTGTATTACAAAAAAAATTGTCGATGATTTGATTTTTATTATTGGTTGGCATTTCCTGTTGTGCTTTTAATACAAAAAAATATATTTATTAAGTTGTTTCTTTTAATATGAAAATATGTGTATAATCGTTTTTATGTCAGAAAAGATTTTAGTCTTCCACTTCTGATTTTGCTTGTGCTGGTGATGGTGATCCCACTGCTTGTTTGTGATGATCTCAAAAGAAACTACTATTTCATCACATTTCTAAACCTTTAAATGTGATTTAAAGGCTTAGTTGAAATATTATAACTTTATCAAAAATATGGCTGCAAACTATGTTCGTTTGTGTTATTTCCATGTAAGAAACATACGTAGTTTCGTATGAAATGATCTATCAGATTAATAAGGCTCTGATTTATCTCCTGTAATTTGCCTAGCTGTATCTGTTTGACTCTGGGAATGGTACTATAACAGTATGCAAGTCCTGTTGTCATAGGTAGCAACCCTGATGCTCGTTCAAAGCCCGAAACGGCATGTCTGCCTCATATATGCATGATATTCTGTGATTGTCTACCGGAATCATATCATCACGTAACAATAGTACTAGTGAAGCATGGCCATTATTAGACTCATTAGTCTATTAGTGTTATGTTGTACAGCGCCTGGACCGGTTGAACAGTGCATAGATGACAAAGACGTCGACTGCAAATGGAAATTTTGAAATTCGATGCTTTAAGTATCCCCAATACATATGGAAAGTTATGCACATATTAAATTTGCCTTGGTTCAATAAACAAAGCATAATGAACAGAGTGTTCTGTTAACGTGTCATATCAAAAAGCATCTGAAAGCAGGCGATACATATTTTATTATTTATATAAATGATGACAACTGAACACAGGGATATTAATTGGAATCCAATTGTGGTGATCTGCTCAGATCTATAAAATCCTTTTTGAAGGCTACAGAAAGAAATTAAGTTTACAGGTAAAGTATAGAAATTTTTGTTTTACAAAAACTGAAAAGGATACTACCTCTTAGAATGGAGATAAAATTTAATGACTCAAACTTGGTCAATAAGTGTATATATTCATCAGTTGAACTTACCAGGTGTCATGACTAAAATCGAATTCTTATATAAAACGATATATCCATTAAACTAAATAATTATTGAAACACACTTCTAAGCATGTTAAAAAATTACTTAGTTTAGCGAATTATTACTTAGTTTTATGGATTTATTGGATTATAGAGAGATTCTGTTGTATAGTTCTGACACCTAGTTAGTCCATTGATGAACAAAGACTCATTTTGACAAAGTTTAAAATTTTCAATTTTTTGGTACCTTTAACCTTGTTGTGTTTGTTCCTATGGATTATGGCTCCCGCCCATGATCTAACAAAAATGTTCTGCAACATAGTTCTGATTTATAGTTTTTACAATGAAATAAGAAAGAACAATTTTTATACAAGAATAGCAACTTACGTTCAAGAGGATTTTGTTACTACCTTACTTTTTACAAATTCACGAGGATCCTTTCTACCAGTTGATTTTTGGTCAAACCTCTTGGTATTGATCTTCATCGGATTATCCTCACTTACAGCTGGGTCTATATAATAAACAGAAATAACAGAGAAAGTTATTCAAGGCACAAGCAAACAAAGATTAGAACCCATGACCACGGATGCTCGACATAACCAAGAATATCAAAACAAAATATCGAAAAATCCTCACAATGTAATAGGCTATTCTAGTAAATATTTCTTAATTTACAGAAAAGAAAATATTGCGTGGACAAAATGGAGCGGCTGAATAGCCTTGTGGTTGTCCTATTGTTACCATTACTGTGCTTTTTTCATCAATATCGGTTGGAAAGTGTTATTTTCTCCCAGATGATTAACTTCGCAGACATTCCAAAAGATATGGAAAAAATTTATCATGGAACCAAACCAAGTTTGATATCTTGTGGAATTCATTGCCTTAAGTTCCCGCGTGCATTTTCTTTCGTCGTCTGCAGAGATTCCAACAACACAATAGATTGTTATTGCACTGCCGTAACTGACTTTTATCATTCAAGTACAGATAAATCCTGTTCGGTGTTTACAAAGGTATGTTTGCTATACATCCTTTTAATCCAAAAGTTGCAAAAACCAAATTTCAGTGCATACAAATCAAATTAAGAATATTTCGAGTGGCCCAGAAAACGAAACGATTTTTTTCTGACAAGAAGTTTTTAAAAGGCTGCTTTTTCAAAGTGAATCAACCTATTAAGCTAAAATGTGATGAAAAAATGTCTTAAATCTCAATGATTATCAGGTCAAAATACGTATTTGATACTTATTGAATAATCCTGAATTTAAAAGTTCCATCGTTTTTTCTTGGCCAACCGAAAAAAACCGACGATTCTATATCTCGGAAAAGACTTCTGACATGTTGTTATGATGTCTCTTTTTACAGATAATACCTTTTTATGATGTCTCTTGTTACAGATTGCATCTTTTTATGACGTCTCTTGTTACAATTTGATGTCTCTTGTTACAAATTGCATTTTTATCTGATGTCTCTTGTTACAGATGACATCTTATGTCTCTTGATACATCTTAAATCTTTTTATGATGTATCTTGTTACAGATTGCATATGTTTATGATATCTCTTGTTACAGATTACATTTATTTATGATGCCTCTTGTTACAGATTACATCTTTTTATGATGTATCTCGTTACAGAATTTAACTTTGATATGCTGTCTCTTGTTACGTGTTACACCCTTTTATAATGTCTCTTCTTCAATCACGATTCTGCTTTTTGTTACAGTTTTAGCCTGTTGTTACAGATTTCATCACTGCCCACTGGCTAAATGTATAGGATTCTGGCTTTTTTTTTTAATTTTAGACAACATTGTATTCACAAATAAACGTAAAAAGGATTTAGGAATAGGCTTCCGCCCTTTAACCCATCTCCTGATAATTTTCATATGTATAATACATAATGTTCAAATAATATAAATAATGTAATATAACCTAATTAACATAATATAATACATAACGTATACAGATATCGCTATATCCACCCTAGATACTCTGAGATCAAAGGTGGATTAATGTAAATACTAAAAACGTTATGAAAATAGAGGGTAATCATCAATCACTTTTATAACTTTAGATTGATCAGGATCATTTTGGACACCGTGTAACAAATTAGATTGGAGTAGATAAAAGGTTTATAGATTTGTATCGTACATCTGAATGTCAGGAACAATTTAGAAGAAAATGTTCTGAATCTTCAGTATGCCCACAAAGGCCCGCAAGGTTTATTCTGGCGTTATTTATCTTAATGAGAAAAGTCGTCGACAAAAGAGGTTTATCGAGATGGTTTAAATTAGTTATATTATTTTTGCAAATTGAGAATATTGTGGTGACATTTCTGGAGAGTAATTTTATACTTGATTTATTTATCAGATACCGGAAGTTTTAATTTCTGGTTCGCAAATTGTAGGCTTAGAAGCAATGGAGTTGAAAGCCAACAGGCTAGAAGTTTCAAAAGGTACGAAAACCATGGGATAAGGTCTCGTTGCCACGCTTGGAGCTGTTACCAGTTCTAGTTTATCTTGAGGTTGTATCAAATACTGTAATGACTATGTAACTTTTATTTCAGCCCAAGTGTAAAAACGATGGATATTTTGATGGAAGAGTATGTAACTGTAAGGACGGTTTCATAGGATCTATGTGTGAAATAGAGGTGAACTCCAGTTCATGTAAGTATGTTCTAATACTGAGAATGCAGCTCAATCAGTCAGGGCATCTTGATTTCAAGTGCTTGGTTAAAGGGACGTTCCGCTTTTTTTGTAAAAGGTAAAAATCAAAAACGGTGTTATTATTTATACCTGAAAATATTTCTCAAATATGCTATTTATATCTGTGTATCTTCTTCATCAAACTGAATTTGTTTTAAAAGAGTTAATTAAAAACTAATTGTTAATTTAGCAGTTTGACCTTGTTTTGGTGTTTGCCTATGAATGGCTCTATATATTTAGTTGAAACCTTTAGAATACGTAGAAAACATATTTTTTTAGAATTATGCGTTTATTTTACTCAAATTCGTCGCGTAGATTTCAAAAAGCATAACGAACTTAAAAACCTTACGTAATGTATTTAAATATTTTTGGCGTTTTAAAATTAACGGCTGGATTTTTTTTATTTATAAGTGTACATTTTTCTCTAGATTTCGGTGTATAGTTTCACAAATTTTAGCAAAAAAATATCCGACATACAAAAACTCTCATAATTCCAGTCAACCCAGCTGTAAATGGGTACTGTTAATCCGGGAAAGATCAATGCCAAGAGGTTTGGCCAAGGACCAGCTGGTAGAAAGGATCCTTAACTGTGAACCCAAGTTGTTATTCTTGTAAAATATAGTAGTTCTTTTTAGACAAATGATTTCTATGTTTTAGGTCAGAACGAGAATGTAAGAATCGTCGATCCTATGACTACAGCTGCTTTACAAGACGTACTTCGTGGTAAAGGAACATTAAAGCAACAAGTTCATGTTGATAACCTCGATATTATCTATAACACTTTCTTCTTTTCTACATCTGACCACGGTGGAATTTCTGAGTCCATAGAACATCTTGAAATAGATATCCGCAATCGTTCCAATTCAGAAGTGTATCGTACTCATCGAATGTTTATGGTAAGCAACGAAATGGCGACGTTACGTCTTGGATTTGGTACTGCAAACGTAATGGAGATGGCAACAGAAACCAGTAATGTACAATTGAAGGGGTTAATAAACGAACGAATAGGTTTCACAAATATCGTATGTTTAGATGTGAAGAATGGCCAGGTTGTATCCGGTTCTGCTAAAGATTGCTTTCGGGGTGTTTTAAAAGGATTTGCGCCGACTTTTGCTGAATACTCACATCATAGAGTCGATTCTGTACAACTTAAAAACAATGAACTATTTTTTAAATTGATGTCAAAAATGGTGAGAAGAGAATCCAAAACGGAATACGCTAGTTATCCGGCACAGTCTGGCCATCACCGAATAAATAGTCGTGGTATTTCGAGTCACATATACTGGAATATTAACACAAATTCGTTGTCTAAATGGATAAACTTTGAACTACCAAATTATATTATATACTTGGACACAACTTGGCACCTTGCCTACTCTAACGACTTGTTTGGTAATCCAAATTACGGTTTCTTGGCATACTTGTATGATTCAGTTGTGGGTGGGAAGAGAGTACGAGTTGCTGTTGATGGCCGAATTTACTCTGTATCAAATACACATTTGAACCACGAACACATCACAGTGTGTGTAACTGACGTGTATAACGAAGAAGCTTGGACACAGCAAAGACCAGTTCAAATACGACAAGAGGTTTCCACCGACGGCGATTACAGATTGTGTTCTTTTCAATCGGAATCAGATTTGGAGACGTCGAGTTCAAGTGGATTGGATAAAGTTACGTGGTTTGTTGAAAATCGTTGTTGGAAGGAGATAATCAAGTTCGGTTATGACAAAACTGTCGTTTCAGGAACAGTGCAAGAGTTATTTCAGGTAGCTTCATCCGGTAAATCCCTGAGAATTGTAGTGGCATCATCATCAACCAAGCTGGAGATCATTGATGTGAATATAGTGTACCTGTTCAACGGCAGCCGAGTTGTTCTAGATTCGGGTTCTTTTGGCATCATAGATCAAACAAACGGCAGAGACCTCACATGCCTCCAAAAGTCATATTCTTTTTATTCCGACGGAATGTTGGAATATTCTATATGGCCTGCAAGTAGAAGTTCGCCGGTACTAAGACTTTATGTATCTAGTTATACCTATATAAAAGTTTTGAGCGAATACTAATAATATTGTCTTTCAATCTCACCACTTTTATGTTGTTTGAAATTGGGTCGTTTTTAAAACTTCTCCTACATGTACAGAGCAGTCGTGCTGCTGGGTTTCTGGTAAATTATTTTTTCTTCTCATGCAACTAGTTGCTTAAACTGATTAATATAATTATGGTTTGGTGTTGTTTTGATCACCAACAATGCAAAGCAGCGGCTCCATCAGATTAATTGAGATTAGTTTAATGCCGCTGTCTTGTCAAAATTGCCCTCATTGGACCCTGTATGGCGTTGCCCGTATGCATTAGCCCACATGGTGCAGAAAAGTAAGACGTAAAACTCCATTCATTTAATATCATTTCAACAAGATGAGTTGAGGGGCCCGTGTTGGTTGTAGGTTGGGGCCACTTTTCAGGGAATGTTTTTGTAACTAAAAGTGATTTGACCTCATAGGGCTGGGGGCTCGTGGACTTGGTTAAACCAGTCCCTTGGTAGTTGAACCACTGTTCTTCTGTTTTTCTTATATCATGGCTTCGTTTGTATCCATCATGTAGGAGTTAAAGGTGTATAAGCTTTGTTGAGCGGTATTTTGGTATTCTTCTTGGGATTGGATTTTATTTGGACTGTTGGTTGATTAAGATGGTTTGTTTTGTTTTTGCTGCTGAGTTTCTTTGATAGTACAAGTAGGGTAACGGAAGTTGGTACTGGTTGCTGATCATAATACCGATATGTTTGAGGTTACCTGAAACCACATAAAAATGGAAAATGGGGCCGTCAACTTTTCCTAAAAACAAATTTCTATACTGAATTTCTATTGTATTGTATCTACTTGTTGTGTCATGTAAAAATTTAAATTTTTTTAATAAATATATTTTTTTCAAATATGGATCCATTGTGACTATTTTGAAGTCTGTTTTACCTTTGAGACATTTCTAGAGTCGACTGTGATTTGTCAGTGCAGTAGATCCAGGGATTGATCAGATTCTCTCAGACGCCGCTCTCAGATTTTGCCTGTCCCACGGTCGGCCTTTGGTCCCTTTTGAGTAATCTCTATTCCGATTCGCCATTGTCTATGAATCTATTAATGCACGATTCGGATTTTCACCGAGTAGGAACGACTGACCCACTTTTCCTGGCATCTTCTCAAACAATTCATTGGTTCTATGCCACCCATGGGATCGAACGACGGAACGTGAAAAACAGACTCATGTAATATTCTGTGTGAAAATATGTTTGTTTCGTACTCTTCAACCAGAAACAATGTTACAATGATTGTATCAAATGACATGTATTGTTTTTGAGTACTCAAATGTTGAACATTTTAAAAGCCGTTTCTTATAAATAAAAGATTAAATTGCATTATGTAATAATTCGAAACCATTTGAATTGTTGATTTCCGCCCGAACTGTTTTATCAGACTAGTGAACGAATACAGATATTTCTCCTTGCAAGAAGTTAATGGCTGTGATTCGCCATTTTCGCAAAAAGCGCAAACAAGAGCAAACATGAGCGAACAAGCGCAAACAAGAGCAAACATGAGCAAACATGAGCAAACAAGCGCAAACAATATTCTTCGTATGCATCTTGCAATAAAAAATTCATATTGATGGGAATAACTTGGATTATAACTGAAACTGCTCATCACTTTCAATGACAAAATCAATGACTTGGTCGGGGTTGAATTTGGGTCTTGAATATATGTAAATAGTCTTCAGAACTACGGCTCAAGCCTACATCATCAAGTGAAATTCGTCTACAATATAAAACATAGTTTTACAAAGGATATCCAACATTCCTCATATTCCTGGTAATTATATTCTAATTTAGCTAATTTTGAATTAATTATGGACATGTGATACAAACTATTATTTTTCCAAGTCATTAGAACACCTCTACTTACTATTCATTTAAGTATTAGCATTTTCATTTAAATGAAAATAAGGGAACCCATCTTTAACTTCCATAGGGACAGGTTGAACCAAGTCCACAGGCACCCGCCTCTTAGGCGACCCCCACTCCTGCACCCACCCCCAGAAAAAATGTACAAAGCAAGTATCTAAAACTACAGACTGAAAAGAGCCATTGAATTGACTTACAGAGAGGTCTCTGAATTCAGTAGAACATAATATGTTGGAAAAGACTTACCGGCGAGGGGCCTCAGAACAATCAGAACGTGCCCCTACTCATCTAGTTCAGACACTTCAGGTGGAATTTCTGTAAAAAATGTCTTACCTATCTCTGTAATAGATAAAGTGCTCATTGGAAGTGTTTAGTGGTATTGCTGCAATCATCCATCGAGTTAATTATATTTCTAAAATTTCATGGCTTCAGTGCGTATAACTAAATGGGGTAGATTCGCAATTTGTTGGGTTGATTTGTGTATTGAACCCTATTACTGATTGGCTAAGCTAACCAATTCCCATTTCTGAGACTTAAGTATGATTAGTCAGAAGAGATGGCGCATGTCCCTTGTATGAAAAATAATGAAATGACATGAGTTTTACGTCGTTTTCTGCACCATGTGGGCTAATGAAGGCGGACAACGACATGCATGGTGCAACGAGGGAAATTTTGTAAGGACAGCGGTATTAGCCTGCTCGATTTTCAACAACTGTCGAGGGATCTGTAACGAGCACAGCCTGTAGCGCAACAAATCTCGGATTATTGTCCCATTCGAACGACAAAACGCTTGTCCATTTCAGCCCTACATCACTGACTAGGGTAAACCGGGTCGAAAAATCCGAAGGTATCATCTCGACCTGGACCTTCAGGTTAGCGAGCATGCTGCTACCACTGCTGAATCTTTATTATTAAAAAAACAACCAGTTGAAATATAAAAACATATAAGTTCAAATATCTTCTTTAATTCAATGTTCTCGAAATGGGCATTAGCTTTAAATTTCGTGGTGTTGCTTAAGCACAAACTTTTTCTCCACAAGTTACACCTCGGTCATTGTCATTAACAAATTGGTAGCAGCAAGTCTCTCCCGCTGTCATTTCAAAATCTTGTAGATGTATTTTTACACATCCTTCTGGAGGGGCGATCCCATCTTCATACCCTAGTCTGAAAATATATGTTAAACATTACTGGCTGAAGCTTAAAGGAATACTATCTCTTAGAATGGACATAGAATTTAGATTCCCAAACTTGTCTATAAGAGTATATACTCATCAGTCAGGTGCCTTGAAAAGAATAGAATCTCTATATGACACAATATATCCATTAATTATTGAAACACCTTTTAAGCATGTTCCAAAATTACTTAGTTTAATGGATTATTACTTAGTATTATGGATTTATTGGATTATGGATAGATTCTGTTTAAAACGATTGGTCAAAAATATGGCAAACCTATCCCTTTAATTGGCTTGTTAGTTACCACGAGACATGAAACATGTCATAAGGTCCGTCGTAAGCTTTCGAATCTAAATTACCGACGACTTACAAATCCGATGATGGTATATTCCAGTCGAATGACTGACGGCATACGAAAGTGGCCGCCCGTGATCATACTTTGCTCATTTGCCTTGTCCTTGTCCCTTAATACAAGGTTTTCATGCCACACGTTGAATATATGTTATAGTTTCGGACGTATTAAGGCGATGGTTTTTACTCCAAAAAAATAAAAAACAAACCAACGACAACGAAAACGACATGCATGTATCTTATCCTGAAAGTCGGGCTAGTCGTAATAGAAATACATGTACATACCCTATACATAGAATTCCATCATTTTCACTGCTACATTTACAATTGAAACAATCCTGTATTTTGGTCGTGTTGAGGGCCCACTCCTTGTTCGTATCGAGCTCTAAACAGAATTGCTTCGGAGAGCCATTTTCTATTTTAATAGAAAAAAAAATGAATCAATAAGGCGGCGCAAAGCATGAAAAGCATATAAGAAAAGGAGACTCTTGTGGCTCATGGGAGAACAGTTGGATTTTTAACGACTGCAAGCTGTGGTCACACTGAAAGTCCAGTGAGTTAGACGCTTGCTCACTAACATGAAGGTCCAGGGTTCAAGGTCGAGATAACACCTTTGGATTTTTCAACCCGGTTTCTCCCTGTCAGTGATGTGGGTCGGAGGGACTGACAAAGAAAAAGCGTCTAGTCGTTTGGATTGCCCAATGTAAAATAACATTACAATATCGTACCCGTTTTTTATGTTTAGTCTACATTGTAAGTTTTCTACCAATATCCGGTCCCAAAGGTAACATTTTAAACCAATCAAAGCGTGTCATATAGAACCTGTTTTTTTTATTAAAAGAAGGAATTGTGGAATAGCTAAACCCAAATCGACTGTCACTAGTTTCAGAGCATTCAGTCACAGAATATCTGAATCCCAATAATCGCGAAACATCTGCCTCTATTCCAGCCTCTATTATATATATATATATATATTGACAGTTATGGGCTGGAATAGACGCAGGGTTTCGGTCTAAATCCCAATCATCATACTAACCGAATGTCATTTGTAAATCACCAATTTTTCTCTGGTTAATTGCTTGAATGGTGACAGCCAACACTGAGCATAGAACTGCTAAACACACCAGTGAATTCATCGTAGCTGGAACAAATGTGTCATTGAGGTAAAATAGATTTAAACGAAATGAAATATTTCGTTGTTTCATTATTTTAATAAGTTATTCGATTAATTATGATATTATTTCGTTTAAACAAATTAATTATTTCGTTAATACGAAATATTTCATAAAAGTATAGAAAATTGCGCCTTGGATGCTCCGTACCATTATGCTTACGACGGTACTATTCTTATATCGCTGTATTAATCAAACGTGATAACACTTACCTTAAATTACTTACTCCAGTTATAATAGAAGCAAAATCAAAAAGACTATAACTAAAGCATTACATTGTAATATTTATACCCTACGTATACGCCCATATGGCACAGTCCAGAACTATTATGACGTTTCATAATGTTACTTTAACAATAATGGTTAACCTGTTGCATGATTTCTTTAATTAAAAAAGTTACTTTAAAGGGATTGTAAGGAGGTTTTCTAAATTGTTAATGTGTATCGGGTACACTGCTGTCATCAATATGCACCATTCCAATTTTCGATTTCTGCAATTCAACTAAAACTTAAAGGTTAATGACGTCATAAATCGCAAAATAATATGCTATATTACATGTTATTTCTTTTTTTTTTGGGGGGGGGGGGGGGGGGGATGTATATTTTTTTCGGTGCCTTAACACCTCGTGGTTATGTACTTGGTCACGTTAGCATAAACTTGTCCATCTCATACACATGTACTTGTGTATATGTATTTTTCTGTATATATATATATTGGTTAAATTGTGAGAGTTTGTACATCTTGTGTGGCCTTGTACTTGATCACAGCAACATAGTCTGTCCATTTAATACACATGTACTTGTGTACTTGTTAATCAGGTTGTCCATCGACATATCGTATATATTCTTTTTTTCATTCATTCATGATATTGTCCCCATGGGCTGGACCTAATTATGACACACTTTGAATTGCAGGAACCACAGACGTCTAGATGGTGCAAACTGATGCTATCAGTATCCCTGACACACATTAATATTTTTTAGAAAACCTCTTTACAATCCCTTTAACCATGGGTTACATCGATTATAACTTCCAATTCAAAATTCAAAAACACTTTATGACTCTTTCTTCTTTGTGACAGGTGGTTAGTCGCTTAGTTTGAAATTAATTTTATAATTAATAATAATTTTTTTTTCCCGTTACTGAATTGAATTCGATTTAATTTTTTTTACAAATCTTACATTGGTGTATGAAATATGTTTAAAAAATCGAAGTTATTTTGAAGCGATCTAATGAAGTGTAAAAATGCTTAATTTTGGAAGAATGTTTATTGCTTTTTGATATGTTAAGATCTCTATGCTCTGGTACTCTAAAGCTCTAAATTCGGCTAATGAAGACTGGGAACGCTCAGTGTACCAAAATTGCGATATTAGCCTACTTATCTCATTTGTCCCTCTCAATCAGACCTAGTACAATTATTCGAATACCTGGTGTAGCGGATACCATATATGATATCCCCGTTTCTTTGTCCGGAATGGATTGGGTGTTATATAATTATTTTTGGTACAGGCACACCAACAGTCTTGGTCGGTAATTTTTGTTGCCGACCGGTTGTGGGCACACGAGGAGACAAAAAATTTCAAGCCAGTCGTTTCCACTATGTCGAAAAACACATGCGGATCATGCTATTGAAAAGAAAATGAAACCGATTGGATGATGAAGCTCGGTCTTGCAGACAATAAAACAATCGACGACAACTATAAAAATGGTTTGATAATATAAATCCTGTCGGCATCGTGATAGTCTCATCATGGAAGTGCGCGCACACGTGAGATTTTACTCAAGATTCGAATCGGCGACCAAGACTGATCGTGTGCCTTCACCCTAAGATATAATGACAAGACGATACCACACAGTGTCGTTCTGAAAGAGGAAATTCCTTAGTTTTTAGTTTCTAAGCTGATCAGTAAAAGAGCTCGTTGTCAAAATTTGAGCCTTTAATTCCAAATATGTCCAGAATTATCCGCATTTGAAAGTTGAGACTCTGTCATATATAGAAAAGACATATATAGAAATAGAAAGTGAAATTCCTAGATTGAGGTATTTTTGAAGGAATGATGCGATTTTCGTACATTTCCAGTATTTCTGAAGACTCGTTACATGTCTTCAAGAATCAAATCAACCCCGAAAATAGCGACCTATGGCCTTTAACTTTCACGGTTTCTATTTCCTAACTAAAGCCTGGTATAAAAAAAACTTTTTGTTTTATTTATTTTCTAAACCAAATATATTCAACAATTTATATAAATAATCACATATCACAGATAATATAATTTATAAATTCAAATTTGGACATTTATCACAATTAAATTTTATATAAAATACGTTTTTTTTTACAGTTATATCTTTTTGCTCCAATCAAAAACCAGCTTTGGCTCATTCCGCTTTATGTTCCAACAGATCTTTAATTTAAAATATGTAGTTGTTAAATTAATTTTGCCGGCATGAAAACACAATTCAACACAAATTTGGGATTAAATGACACATCACATGATCTTTATTCATGACAAAATGAGTCTTTGTTAATCAGTGGACTAACCTGGTGTCATAACTATACCACAGAATCTCTCTATAATCTAATAAATCCATAAAATGGATATATTGTCTTATAATGAGATTCTATTCTTCAGTCATGGCACCCGGATTTACTGTCTTAGATCTTTTATGGTTTGTTGTCACTTTTAGATTCTATAGGAATATCTTTTTCTGCATCAGAAGAATCATCTTGTTGATCATCCTGCATCACCTGGTCGTCAGCATTCTCTTTAGAAGCATCGGCATCTTCAGCATGGTCATTCTGCTCTGGTACTTGTTGGACATGTTTTGAAGCTGGGATATCAATGCTTACAAACGATTGGACAGAGCGTTCTAATCTAGGTCTTTGGGCACTGGTTGAAATGACTGGGTCTGAGTTAGACCTAGCTGGTATGTCTACGTTCACAAAATTGAGAAAAGATCTTTCTTGGACCAAACTTTGTGGATTTGGAACCACTGTTGACACAGTTACAGCTTGAGTCTGGGAATCCATGGATTTATGGCTTTCCACTTCATCACCCTTGACATCATTTTCTGTATTCTCTTCCAGAAGAGGTTCCATAAATGCTGATTCTCTGGAAATTGGTTTTCCAGACATTGTTCTGTCAAGATCTCTAGCTTCTGGAGATGGTGGAGGAGGTGCTGGTGAGACCCCTTTGACACCACCACTAAAAATTTTCCGAGCTAAGAGATCCTGTTCAGATTCTCTGCTTCCAATATCAGATCTGGATTGAGATGGTTCAAGAGATGGTTCTGCATTAGGAATGGTAATTGGAGGTTTCTGATCGGGAGTGCAAACTGCTTCGGTGACCTGAGGCCATGGATCTGGACTGGAATAGGTGGAATTGACCACATTCGAATCCTCTACAAAATGAGTCTTGGCTGAAGATTCTAGTCCTCTAGCAGTGATTTCTGGATATGTACTAGCATTCTCTGTGGCAGCAGTGTCCACAACTTCAGATTTGCTCATTAAGTTCCTCTCAGTATCATCCTGGACAGATGCTGCCATGTTATCTCTGGCAGATTTTTCAGGAATTGTTCCAAGATCTAATAATAAAAATCAGAGAGTGCAAAAAAAATTGCTATGACAATGGCCAACTTTTAAACTGCTGAATTGCCATTGCGAAATCAAAGTTCAAAATGTGTTGCTTCTGTTGGCATTTTTATGAATGCAAAGACCATTGAAAACAACCTTTTCATATTTAATTTTTTTACCACAAACAATAAGAAATCTACATACCACAATCCGAGTTAGTTGGGGAATTAACAGGCACAGTTGTTCTTTGGTTTGATAAAAGATCATGTTCACTCATGCCATTGTGTTTCAGTTGATCATTGGAAGCTGACTGTTCTGGCATTCTACAACCAGTAACCAAATCTGGTGATGCTGGCATCTCAGGAAACCTTACAGACTGTTATCAAAAAATATGTTATGTAAATGGTGAAATTTTGAAATATTATTACAGAACCTGACATGGAGATTTTTGATTGGTTGCAGGATTGATGGCCCATAACAGGAGATACATAACAGTTTCATTTGATCATGGATGACAAGTGGAGTTGCTCATAGAAAAAACACAAAACAAAACATCTTGGTATGATTATGATCAGATTTAAACTCCTCCAAGAATTAACTTACAATTTCCTTCTTGCTTGATGTATTTTCAACAGGAGAGTCCATATTAACACTTAAAGTGGTACCATGCTCTGATGCGCCTACTGAAGAACTTCTAACACTGGTGGGTGGAGTTGGCATAGGACCTTTAACACACAGAGAAATGAATTGAAATGCATCAGTGACAGAGGGTCGACAGGTTGAGATTTTAAGGTATTATTGGGACCTCTACCTGGATAAAACCTAAACAGAGGAAGGGAAAATGAAATGAATGGTGTTTTACATCCTACAACAGAGGAAGGGAATATGCTTGTCTGATTACAAAGGTCAGAATGTTGGAAAATTACCACAGACTGGTGGTATACTTCATGCATATCAATATCAAATGGAATTTACATTCCATGATCATGCCATGCAGTGTGCAATGAGGACTGCTCCATTAGCTTAAAATTAGACCAAACTTTAGGTTTGTTTTTTATTGGCTTTTTTTTAAAAATAGCCACTTCAGTTAGGGTCTAACAACAGCCCTCTTGACCGTTTGTCAAATTAACCTTTTCACCTAATGTGCTTTAACGAATCAAATTTCTATCCGGTGCTGGCATTTTGTGATGCGGTGTTTATCAGGTAAGTTCAAAAGTTTAATTTCACGTACATTCAAGAGGGCTGTCGTTAGATCTTTACTGAACTGGCTATATTAAAAATAATAGCTAATAAAAAATACTGAATGAAAGTTTGGTCTAATTTTAATTAGACTAAATTTCCATATGTTGTTCCAGTCTCTCCAAATTGCATCACTGACAGGAAGAAACCTGGTGGAAAAAAGCCAGTGATCGAACCCTAGACCTTCAGTGGAAGAGCAGTGCTGAACTGACTAACCCAATGCCTGGTATTTTGTGAATTGGAGCCAGATATTAAAAAGGAGAAGTAAATGTATCTACCTATACTGAGATCGACGATGTCTGTTTTTTTATAAGTAAAAGGTTTGGTATGTTTGATGCCTGAAGGTAATTCTGGAAGTCCAAGAGACACTGACGCTATCTTACTCTTATGATACTTATTCTGGCTTCTGATTCTTTCTGAAATAAATGAATGAAAATCATCACAAAATGCTATGAAATGAAAATAAATGTGGCTAATTATAAAATAGAATGAAATGAATGTGGTTCATGATGAAATGAAATTTATGTGGCTTATTATGTAAAGGAATGGAATGTGGCTCACTATAAAATGACAATAAATGTGCTTCATTATGAAATGGAATGTGGCTCATTTTTAAATGAAATGAAATGAATGTGGCTCACTATAAAAATGAAATGAAAATGAATGTGCGTCATTATAAAAATGAAATGAAAATGAATGTGCGTCATTATAAAAATGAAATGAAAATGAATGTGGCTCACTATAAAAATGAAATTAAACTGAATGTTGGTCATTATAAAAATTAAGTGAAAATGAATGTGGCTCATTATAAAAATTAAGTGAAAATGAATGTGGCTCATTATAAAAATTAAGTGAAAATGAATGTGGCTCACTATAAAAATTAAGTGAAAATGAATGTGGCTCACTATAAAAATGAAATTAAACTGAATGTGGCTCATTATAAAAATGAAATTAAACTGAATGTTGGTCATTATAAAACTGAAATTAAATTGAATGTTGGTCATTATAAAAATTAAGTGAAAATGAATGTGGCTCACTATAAAAATGAAATTAAACTGAATGTTGGTCATTATAAAAATCAAATGAAAATGAATGTGGCTCACTATAAAACTGAAATTAAATTGAATGTTGGTCATTATAAAAATGAAATGAAAATGAATGTGGCTCATTATAATACTGAAATGAAAATGAATGTGGCTCATTATGAAAATTAAATGAAAATGAATGTGGCTCACTATAAAAATTAAATGAAAATGAATGTGGCTCATTATGAGAAGGAATGGAATGTGGCTCACTTTGAAAATGGAATGAAAATGAATGTGAAGCTCATCTTTATATGATATTGAATGAAAACAATTGTGGATCTCCTAAAGTAAAATGAAATATAAACAATTGTGGATCATAGAATGAAATGATATGAAAATGAATTCGGCTCATAATGTAATAATATATAATGAAATAAACAACCACATGATGGGTCTTGTTTAGAAATTCAATTTTGGTGGAAATAACCAATACCAAAGATAGATATATATCACTTTCAGAAAGCAAAATCTGACACTTACTTATTGCTGGAAGAGGTTTCTTGTATTTTGATAAACCATGGACAGAGAAGTTAGGAGAGGGACCTTTATCACTTTCAAACTCCATGGCCGGTGTATTTACACAAGTAACTTGATCCAATACAAAACCATCATCCAATTGAAATACAGGCCGTGTGTCCATTAAATGGGATTCTCGAATATTCCTCTTTTTGTCTCTCAGTAACGCCATTTTCTTCTGCTTCAGTGCTTCAGCAGTTCCAATGGACATTCCTGTAAAATCTCGAACCAATGGCGGCTGAAAGTCTTGAATGACATCATTGATTCTTTCACCAGACATAAAATCACTGAAATTAAATAAAGTTTTTTAAGTCCTCCTACCTGACTGGGGGGATGAAGATGGGCAATGCCATGCAGTGCACAATTAGGTAAATTTTGACAGCTACAAAAGTCTACTGAAGAGTAATGATGACATGAGGGGGATTTTCACACTGACAATAGCCTACTGTTTATGACTTCCAACTGTCAATATGCACAACTGGTTTCAAAGAGGGAAGCAACAGATTTTAGACTCGCTAGGATGAATAGACATTGTTTTCCATGTCAGCTCCTCCAATTTGCATCACTGAATAGGGAATCTTAAAGGGATCGTAAGAAGATTTCTAAATCTTTTATGCTTATCAGCGAACACTGATAGCATCAATTTCGAAAATTAGAATGGTGCAAATTGATGCTATCAGTGTCTCAAGTTACCAGGTTATTGAAGATGAACAAACCTCTTTTTGTGTGGCAAATTGTTATCCATTTATCACACATTGTTATCGTTATAATTTTTTTTTTGCCCCATAGTTAGTTTAAATGATATAGCATTGATGGTTTGATCTAATTCTGACTATAGCTTTTTTTTGTGTTTTAAAGTGACACTACGTCTTAGAATTAACATAAAATTTAAGAATTTTAAACTTGACCAATAACAGTCAGTAGATATACCTGATGTCATAAATAACATAACAGGATCCTTATATAATCTGATAAATCAAACAAACTTAGTTATTATCCATAAATATCCAATTAGCTATTGAAAAACGCTTAAGATTTTTTTTTTCAAGTGTTTTTCAATAATTACTTAGTCTTATGAATTTTCTAATTTTCCACAATTTACAGGGATTCTGTTGTAACTTTATGACACCAGGTAAGCTAACTAATATCACTTTAAGCTACATTTGCTGTATGTGATGAAATAATTTCTAACAATACCAACCTCTCCTTTAAATGCTCCAAAACCTCCATTAAAATATCACTTGGTAAACTTAATAAATTGTTCAAACTATAAAGAAAAGGGTAAAAAAAAAGTTTCTTTTATTTTATATTCCATTAAAAATATTTTTAACTGGAAATATCTCTTTCTATTTCTATATAAGTCTTCTCTATATATCACACACTATCTTAAATTGACGAGTCATTATTTTAACTTTCAAATGCAGATAATTCTGAACACATATGGATTTGAAGGCTTAAATTTTGATGGTGAGCTTTGGACATTATTACTTATTGGCTTAGCTAAAAAATTCCATTTTCTGAGGCTAAAGTATGATTGGTCAAAAAAAGGCGCACCTGTTCCTTTAATGATGACATTTAAAAACTTACCCCTCAGAATCAAAAGGAACCCTCTGTGGATAAGATGATCTAACTGAAGGTCTTCCTCTACCATAAGGTGATCTGCTTCTTGTTAGTCTCTTCTACAAGGTAGAAACCATATAGTGTTTTACGTCCTACTTTTCTACACCTGATTGGGCTAATGAAAACTGACAACAGTGTGCAATGAGGGAAATATAGAACAGCTTATGCTTTTTTCAATTTCCAACTGTCTAAGGATCTTTAGCATGCACAGCCTGCATTTATGAAAATGCTAATTAATACTTATATGAATATAAAGTAGAGGTGTTCTAATGACTTGAAAATATACCAGTTTGTCTCACATGTCCATAATTAATTAAAAGAGAATTACCAGCAAAATTCCAATGAATGACAGAACAAGAAAGGTCAAGAAGTCTGTTTTTGTTTATCCAGACTGTACATAGATGGACATTTATGATTGGTTAAAACTTAAATTATATGCAATATAAGTCAATAATGATATTATAAAGAATACATGATAATTCATTAGAAACACCAATTAATCAAATAGTTTGCTTAATTTAACAAAAAAGGAAATCCATCTTTAAATCAATCAAAAACAAAAAAAAAAAACAGTTGAAAACATAATGAGGTAAGCTTTCATATTTTTTAAGAAAGTGCAAAATCCTTTTTCAGACTGTTCTTAGATTTGTAAGTGGGTGAAAGGGATGATACCTTTGGGATTTAAGAGGATACGTAAAGAAGATCATAAAAGCGCAAGAATATACAATAGTAAGCTATTCACATCACACTTGAGCTGAGTCTAGTTAAAATTAGACCAAACTTTTGTTCCATTCTCTTTTAGTTTTTATCTTTTATTTAGCCACTTCAGTTAGGGTCTAATGACGGCCCTCATGAATATTCATCCATTTTATGATACCCCCAGCCAATCATATGTCTTCCTTTTCCAAAGCTGAGATTTTTGGACGTAAACAAAAGATGAAATCAGTGTATTAACTAGTCTAATGCTTCTTGGGATGTACCTTTTGTTTGCATCACAAAACAAGGGAAGAAATCTGATTGGCTGACAGTGTCAACAAATGAAAGAATGTTCAAAAGGGCTGTCGTCAGACCCTAACTGAAGTGGATAATTAAATATGAAAGCAAATGAAAAACAGAATAAAAGTTTGGTCTAATATTAATTAGACTGACTTGAACTAAGATGAAAGCTGAGAAAGAAAAAGATATACATTAGGAAAGAATCTAAAGAAATTTCTACAGAAGGCTAAAGGCACACAAAAATACCATGTTTCAAGATTCTAGAATTCTACCTTAGATTTGATTACTGGTAATGTATAAAAAGGCTGAAAATGAATTGAAATATGTTAATTGACGCATCTACGCTACTTTCATTTACTACAATACTCAATCTGTAGAACACCTTATGCCATTCTAAGATTGGGTTGCTCGACTAGTTATCTCTTTAGGGGAATCCATATAGCTAGTTATTTTCATTTGGTACAATAGAGTTACTGTCTCTTTGTAGCAGTGGAATAGCTCAGTCAGTAGCGAGTTGGATTGGCATCTGCTAAGCAATTATGTGCTCTTGGTTGGAATGTTCTTCAAGGTAGGAAAATTACTGATGCTAATGCAAGTTTTCTGAAAGTCAGCCCATTATAGGTTTTCAACCCAATAACCAGTAAGCCACCAATAACTTTTCTTCTTTGAGTTCATGTTAAAAATCTTTTTGAATTTGAGTTATAATGCTATAAGTACTGTGATTGGGTGTTGCTGGCTAGAAAAGGCATGACTCTTCTGCAACTGGATCTGCAAACTCTTTCAGTGAGTCTACATGGCTTTTTATTTGTTATATCTATTACTAATACTATTCTATAGTACTTCTATAGGCCTATGTTAAACCTAAAGAGTCCTTTTTCATTAAAGGTTTTGTACAGAGGTTCCCAAGACTTCTAGAATGTATTGCAGACATAATGCAAATTGATAATGTCATAGATGGACCCAATACACACACAAACAGTCATTCCCTCTATAATGGACTAATTTAAAGACAAAAATACATATTAGCTAAAATAATTCATCTCTCTAAGGCTTCTAATCAATCAATTGAAGTATTAATGAAATTAGCATGAGAGCATTAGAGCTCAAAAAGCTATGAAATATTAAAATCTACAATTTCTAAATGCTAAAATCATTAGTTCCTGCTACTGTTAACTCTATAAACACTAGTTGTGCTGATAATTTGATGTATATTTACGTATAGTGGCAGGTGATGCAGCTTTTACCAAGTGACGTCACATCATGTTAAAGAGATTGTAAAGAGGTTTTCTAAATTTTCATAGCATCAATTTGCACCATTCCAATTTTCAATCAGATGTCTGTGATTCCTGCAATTCCACTTAAAATAAGCGTTGTTTGACGTCACTATCAATCTGCTATATATCACATGTAGTCTTTGAAGTCAAATCTAAGAATTGCAGGAAGCACAGACTTCTGATTGAAAATTAGTGTGATGCAAATTGATGCTATCAGTGTCCCTGATACACATCAAATTCAAGAAAACTTCTTTACAATCCCTTTAACATCATATAATAAGTTATATTACTTGGAGTTCAGGGTATATGAAGTGTTCAAAGGGTTAAAGAATTGTGGTTCAAATAAATAATAAAGCATTTACCAATAGTTTGGTTTCTTCTCTTTCAATTTCGATTTTTTCTGGAACTAATTCTTCAGTTACATCTTTAGCAGGAATAATTCCAGACTTTTCAGAGGCAGTGATCCTTAAACATAAAATTTCAATGTTTCAGAGTTTTTTTCCACAGCTTTAACAGACTACATTCTTTCTACTTGCTGGTCCATCGCCAAACCTCTTGGCATTGATCTTTATCCATACCCATTAACAGCTGGGTTGACTGGAATTATGAGTGAAGATGACTTATTCATAGTCATTGGACTTTCACACCGACCGAGATCAGAACCCACAGCCACCATTTGCTCAATGTAACCAAGCAAATGTAGAACAGACCAAAACCAAAGAAGATTTTGGACTGATACTCTAAAGCTTACAGAGAATTGGTTGAAAAATGACCTCGAAATCTGTTTCGTCTGCTAGTAGTTCACAATATTTGACACTATCTATTATTCTCTGACATTTTTTTTTTGAGTTACTAGGATGTACAGAAAATCCCCACAAAACAGGGCCTAGTTTTTCTGTCTCTATACCAGCCGACAACTGTCAAACCTGAGGCAGAGTTATCAGCCACCTGTTCTAAAATAGACAAAAATAGAATTCAATACATACGCTAGTCTCTCTTCTTTTTCAGTCTTCTTCTTATTAGGGTTAGGAACCCAGACATAGCATTGTTTAGTTAGAAACGTTTCATCCCAACGACTCTCTAGGTCTTCTAAATCAAACAGCTCTTGAACTTCCAGAACCTTAACTTTAGGTGGTGGTTTCTTTTCTGGTGGTTTCACCACTGACTCTGGTGTCAACAGTGGTGTTAGAGCCACTTTTCTGAAAGTTAAAAGGGAAGGATGCACCAACTTCGAAATAACAAAATTGTGTTGTGTATTATTTTGCACAAAGGTCTATTAAATTTTGTTTTCTTTATAAAACTGTTTTGTTATATCTATTAAGCTATAATTTCGTTATATATACAAAACTATTTTTGTTGTCTTTATATTAAAAAACTATTTTGTTATCTTCATATCATAAAACTATAATTGCTATATCTTTATAAAACTATTTTTGTTATCTTTATATAAACAAAAACCACAAACTATTTTTGTTATCTTTATAAAACTATTTTTGTTATCTTTATAAAACTATTTTTGTTCTTAATAAAATTAATTAAATGTTATCTTATAAAAGAAAAAACTTTTTTTGTTGTCTTTATAAAACTATTTTTGTTGTCTTTATATGTCTTTATAAAACTATTTTTGCTGTCTTTATAAAACTTTTTTTGTTGTCTTTATAAAACTTTTTTTGTTGTCTTTATAAAACTATTTTTGTTGTCTTTATATGTCTTTATAAAACTTTTTTTGTTGTCTTTATATGTCTTTATAAAACTTTTTTTGTTGTCTTTATAAAACTTTTTTTGTTGTCTTTATGAAAAAATTTTTGGTGTCTTTATAAAACTGTTTTTGTTGTCTTTATGAAAAAAAGTTTGTTGTCTTTATAAAACTATTTTTGTTGTCTTTATAAAACTATTTTTGTTGTCTTTATAAAACTGTTTTTGTTGTCTTTATGAAAAAATTTTTGTTGTCTTTATAAAACTGATTTTGTTGTCTTTATGAAAAAAATTTTTGGTGCCTTTATAAAACTGTTTTTGTTGTCTTTATGAAAAAAAATTTGTTGTCTTTATAAAACTATTTTTGTTGTCTTTATAAAACTATTTTTGTTGTCTTTATAAAACTGTTTTTGTTGTTTTTATATGTCTTTATAAAACTATTTTTGTTGTCTTTATAAAACTATTTTTGTTGTCTTTATAAAACTGCTTTTGTTGTCTTTATAAAACTGTGTTTGTTATCTATATAAGACTATTTTTGGTTTTTGTGTAGGCCTAATCGTTGTTGAACAGACTTTTTGAAAATTTTTCACCATTTCATCTCTTCTTCTACAATGATATGAATATGCAATGTAAAAATATCATAACAGACCCTAAAAAAAACATGTTGTTACTCAGAATTTCACACTATGACTATGAGATCTTCAGAAAACTGACCTATTTCAGCCTATGACCCTAATGTAGTTGGACATGAAGAACTTATTCCAATGTCTCTACATTTCGAGACAAGTTCAGAAAGTTTGTCTATAGAAGTGCTCTTGGGGATATTCATGATGAAAAGCTTTTGGGTTAAACACAGGTTACATCGTTTGGTTTTATTTGTATATACTTTAGATCTGCTATCAATGGATCAGGATATTTTGTAATTATACTTTTTCAGTCTAAGTTAGGAAATTTTTTTTTTGAGAGTTTAGTGCTATTTTTTATAGGGGCACATTGTAATTTCAGTCTAGATATTTCAGATATTCCCATTTAAAAAAATCAGAAATATCTTGTATCATGTTGAAACACCTACATAAAATGGACTCAGACCACTACAACTTTTTATACTAATGATTGTATACGAATTTAGTTCGTGCTATTTTTACGAATTTAGTTCGTGCTATTTTTAGAAATCCTCTTTCTGCCTCCCTTTTTGGGTTTTTGCAAACCCATTTTTGAGTTATATTTGGTCTAGATTTGGAATTTGATATCTGAAATTGCCTTTTCTTTCAGATTTTTGTATTATAATGAGAGATTTATAGGTGGAGGAATAATTCTAAAAATAGTGATTTTGTGACTTTTGTGATTTTCATGGTCATGATATATTGAATGTGGTGTTTTAACATAGAAAAGATGGCAAATGAATTACCAAAGTTTTACAAGCCAATAAAAAGGGAGACAATCAAATCAAGACTATTGAAAATCAGGACAATTTGACTGGAAATCTGTCTCTTTCATCTTGACCATAATCTTCTATTAGGTTGTATACAGTCATTTCCGGTAGAGCTGTGGAATACACAAAACAATTTTATAGGATTCACATGCTTGTATATGGATACAAACGACAGACAACTTCAAGTAAATTTTTAGTTGAACATTACAAGATGAAAGTACTCAATTTCAGCTATATGTAACAATTTTTAGTCAGAAATACAGCTTTTTAGAAAGGCCACTGGTCACTTCCAAGTCTTTACTGATATCCAGATATTGAAGAAATAAGAAAAAGCCAACCATATTTAAGAAGTAAAACAACTTAGGATCCTGTCTCCCTGCTGGTCATTCCAGCATAGGTCGAGATAATACCCTCAGATTTTTCAACCCGGTTTCCCAGTTAGTGATGCAGGTAAGAGGGTCTGACATGGATAAATCGTCTTGTCGTTCAGATGGGACAATAAACCAAGGCCCAATGTGCTACATGCTATGCACATTAAAGATCCCTCAACAGTTGGAAATCGAAAAAGAGCAGGCTAATGCCGCTGTTTTGGCAAAATTTCCCTCATCGCACCCTGCATGGCGTTGCCCGTCTTCATTAGCCCATTTAGTCATTAAAAAGAAGTTAAACTTACATCCATCCTCCTCTGTTCTACTTTGAACAACAGTAGGTTTATCATTCTGGAATGGGAATCCTTTCTCTCGTCTCTGATTGGACTGCCAACAAGCTGGATGTTGACAATACACTCCACAAGATGTTTCATCAATCCGATCACTTTTCATACCAGCTGTACTAGTTCTGGAGGTCTTCATTTTCTTGTAAGAATTTATCTTTCAATATTCATGGATCTAAAATTGATTCATTTATACTAAAATGTAAAAATTTCCAAAAGCTAAAATGGCTCGATTTTTGGGGATTGTAGGTAAGCCTATCGAAGTAAAATCTTGCCCTCTAAATTTTTTTTTTAGTTTATATTTAAAATAAGCTTAAAGATGGGTTTCCTTATTTTTCAGTATCGAATTTTTGAAAAGTTGGTGTTGTATTCTTAATCATATCATTATGATCTTATTGCATATAATTAAGAGTTTTAATCAATCATAAATGTCCATGTAAGTACAGTCTGGATAAACAAAAAAGACTTGTTGACCTTTCTTGATTGGTCACTTATTGGAATTCTGCTGATAATTCTCTTCTAATTTAGCTAATTATGAATTAATTATGGACATGTGAGACAAACTGGAATTTTTGCAAGTCATTAGAACACCTTTAAGATTCATATAAGTATTAGCATTCTCATTTTGATAAAGTAAAATAAGGGAACCGATCTTTAAAGATCATAAATAAAATTTAACTAACAGTTTTTTTCAATTTTGTATACAAGGTCTAACACATCAAGTTACTAGATGTCAATCACTATGAAAGGTAATGACCCTGACCATATAACTTAACAGCCAATCAAATTGCTGACGGCCTTCAGGAAAATGGCGGAGAAGGTTTTCATAACTTTCATTCCTCATTGATTGATCTTAAAGTTATTTTTGGTTGTGAGCTTATTAGGATCGACACACCTCTTGATCGATTTGTCCAATATTCTACCGGAAACAAGAGATCACCATTTCTCATCCGGACGATCCATGGAGAATAACCATGGCCAAAAGTCTGGAATTCCAGAGCAATTTTAATGGACTGGAAGGTAATGGGTGTTAGTTGACTGCACTGTCAATGCTATGGAGTAGTAAATAAGCTCACAACTGAAAAATTGAGATTCAGTCATGGTTGTAGTCAGGGAGTAAATGTTGATATGTTGTTCTCTATGCATTAAGTGCAGATGATCATAAATCTTGTCTACACAGTGTAGACAACAAACCGATGGTGTTAAAGGCCTAGTAGACAGTGGCATACGTGTACGATTTTGACTAACTTTAAAGCAGACTGACAGTAAAAGAAAATCTTCCATTTCCCTTATCATGTATTTAATATTGATATAAATATGTCATGCATGCTCAAACTCTGTCTCAAAAAGTTCAAGTTTATTCCAGTAAGGCATTCTGTCTACCAATCCCTAGACTAGGCCCGAGGCCTATCTAAACCCAAGATTCCAACCCCTACACTGGTCAGTTTAAGTTAAGATTGCTACAAACAAGCGTATTGTCATTGATTTTTTTTTCTATCAATATTCTACCTTTTTATGAGTATTTATAAGCTCCATCAAAACGAATTCTTTTTTTGAAGATTCTTGGATTTCAGTGATTTTCGGAGGCTATTTATTTATCATTTTTGCCAATTATTCGCAAAATCAAAGATTTTAGTCAGCCATTTTGAAACAACTTCATGACAACGCTGTCCCGCACTGAAAAATGAAAAAAATAAAGGCCAAATATAAAAGTGAAGGATTTTGTTACAAATAATGATAAGGTAACTATAAATTTGTCTCTCTATGATAATTTGTGCTGTTAATAATTTTTGTATCAAGAATAAACAAAAGTCAAAAATAAATATTCCACATAATTATTACTGCGAGCCTAGCCGGAAGTCGATTCATGATCGGTCAATAAAAAAAGTGTAGTGTAGAGGAATTTATGTCGCGGAATAGCTAACAGATTGAATCGTCAAAATGAATATGAAATCGAAATTGAATAAGTTTGCCGGTGATGCTGGGACTTTATTTAACAGAGCAGTACAGGTATGTCTTATTCTTAAGGTGCCATGTCCTTTAAGGTGTGAAAATTGGTTCCAAATTTTGGTTTCGAAAATCTGGACCCGCCCACTCAGTCAACCATAAGTCGATTTATTTGATCACCTCATTCAAAGGTTTTTGATCTTTCCTCTGCATTTTACAAATGCTATGAGTCATGACAAACTGTTCTAAAATGACTGCTGTTCATGTGACAATGTTTCTGGGTCAGACCTAGATAAGAGCTTTCTTTACTCTCAATTCACCAGTGAGAGATGGGATTTTATTAGTTTTGTCATTTCTTTAGATAATATCATAATGCAGGGCAGTGTTTAATTTAGATTGAAAAATTAGCAATGTAAGCCCCACCAAATTTGACCTTTGACTAATCAAATTAGATTTTGATCAGCATTTCAAATGAAATCAGTAGAAATTTAAACAGTTGCAGACTTCAGATTGATCTTGCCAATTATTATAGTTCTTTAAGGTTATAGAAACTGCCAATAGTTGACAATTAACAAGAAAAATATACGATTTGATTTGATTCATAGATCATCTTGATTTTGGCTAATCATTTGAAATATTGGGTCGCAAATGAGATTCTATAAAATAATTGAAATAATAGTCAGAGCTACGAATTTATAACTTTGATTATCGATTATATGTCATATGTAAAAGTTACATTTTCTCCACTATACCTGTAAACATGTAGTACTCTCTTCTACATAGTTTCCCTTCAGTGCATATGTACAGCTCAAGATAGTTTGTATTTACCAAAATTGTACAGGACAACATCTTTTGGAGATCCTAAGTGAATTCAGTCAAATGATTGTTAAAATGCCATACAGTAAATATTTCTGATGAACAGAAGGAAACTGAAATGACAGGAACTGAGATATCTGTGTAGATTGTGTAGTTAATGATCAGTCCTACTGGTGTCTTAGATTTTGCTTTTTGGGTCCACCTAGCCTATGTCCCATACGATTTGATAAATTTATTTTCCGACATCTTCAAGGACAATGTACTAGAAATTTCAATTTGATAAAAATCTATAAGCTTACAAATACCGTTACTTGGAGTAACATTAATCAACAAAAAATAATTTTTATGAATTACATGCTTAATTCTTTTTTCAAAAAAATTTGACATGAATTTTACTAATCTTTTGATTTGTCATAGAAATATATTCTTGATTTGATCAGTTATTATAGTTTATTGTGGTAGGTTATGTGCTGAAGGGAAATTTTGTAGAAGAGATAACTACTTGTTAACGGGTACAGTGGAGAAAATGTAACTTTAACATATAATCTATTATGAAATTTGATTAAAATGATAAATTCCTAGCAATGATAATCGCTTATTTGGATCATTTTATCCAGCCCTAATTCAGTACTTGCTTTAAACTGTGTCAACTGAAAAATTGGGTAAAGATGGCTGTTAAAAATCACTTTCCCAAACCAAGGCCATGGTCGTTAAAATCCATTTTTTAACCACAATATGATTAAAATTAACACTCATTTCTTATTGTAGTACACTGAAGAAAAATTAGGATCTGCTGAAAAAACAGAATTAGATGCACATTTTGAGAATTTACTGCAGAGAGCTGAAAAAACCAGAATATGGACAGAAAAGGTGCTAAATCAGACAGAAGCAGTTCTGCAACCCAATCCAAGTAAGCTCAAATTTACTTCTACTGAAGTTTTAATCATTGACCAACGTACTTTTCCATACTTTTGATTCTGTGTAGAGTTTGATAAGGTGACCTACACCCAGTTGTTTATAACTTATCAAATTTAAATTATGTATATCTTAAAAAGATGTGAAAGTCTTCAAAATTTCAAGTGAAGTTATCCATAAACACCATGAGCCATGAGCACAAAGGTTATCCTCCTATCTTGAAAAGTTTACCTCATTGCACACTGCATGACGGTGCAAAAAAATAATATGTTAAAATCAAATCAAACTTCCGTTTCTTTTTTTTTTTATTAGCTTTTATTTTTGATATAGCCACTTCAGTTAGGGTCTAATGACAGCCCTCTTAAACATTCGTCAAATTAACCTCTTGACCTAACTACGTAACGTCGGCTTTAACCAATCAAATTTCTGCCCTTTCCGGCACTGGCGTTTGTGACCCAATGTTTATCAGGTTAGGTAAGACGGTTGATTTGTAAAACGTTCAAGAGGGCTGTAGTTAGACCTCAACTGAAGTGGCTATATTAAAAATAAAAGCAAATAAAAAAAAAGAAACGAAAGTTTGATTTGATTTTAATTAGACAAGATGGCATTATGATGGTATTAATTTGTGTACTTGTGTATTATTTAGATCAGCGAATGGAAGATTTACTGTATGAAAAACTAGAAAAGAAGAAGAAAGACAGAGTTACTAATGCTGAACAGTTAGGATTATATATGGTAGATGCTGGTAATGATTATGGTCCAGGGACATCTTATGGTAAGCCTCTATATTTTTTACACCCACGTCATCTTTCTTTGTGGAAACTAGGGTTGGGACGATACAAGGCTTCTAGGCATGTTTCAAAATTAATTAGTTTAATGAATTATTGCTAAGTTTTAATGATTTATTGGATTAGAGGGATTCTGTTGTATAGTTATGACATCAGGTAAGTCTACTGATGAACAAAGGCTCATTAAAAATGATGGTATAACACAAAGGGACAGGTGCACATTTTTTTTTTTTTTTTTAGCTAAGCGAGTTAGTAATAGTACAGGTAAATGTACTGGTACCATAAATGTACAAAAATTGCATAATTCCTTCAAAAATATCTCGAACTAGGAATTTCTTTTCCTTTTTCTACAGATAAATTTTCTATATATGGCAGTGTCTTTTTTACCCTCATATGTGGATAATTCTGGACACACATGGATTTGAAGGCTCAAATTTTGACGGTGAGCTGTGGACATAATTACTGATTGGCTTAGCTAAAAAAAAAATCAAATTTCTGAGACTATGATATGTTGAGTATAAAAAATGGCACATCTGTCCCTTTAATGCGCTTAAGTTTACCACTTAATTAAATTAATGTGTAACCTGACGAAATAATAAGAAAAATGTTACATGAAAGGTTAATTAATCAAAAATGACCAACCATACTATATCTTTAATGACAACTAATGAAGGCTAATAAAGTCATTATTGATAATGTTGATGACTTTGATAATAGTTTGAATCATTTAAAGATGGATTGCCTCTGGGCATTTTATTACAGTTTTAAGTGTGATTCATTAACTAATTAATAGTTAAAGATGAATTGCCCTCAGATATTTTTTTAATTGAAATCCTGTAATTTTCTTACAATTTGATTTGCTTTAATCATCAACTGCTAATATATCTATTAACCCATCTTAAAGATTAAAGGTTCCCTTATTTTCAAAAAATGCTAATACTTATATGAATGGAAAGTACAAGTGTTCTAATGACTTGGAAAAATACCAGTTTGTCTCACATGTCCATAATTAATTAATAATTAGCTAAATTAGAAGAATTACCAGCAGAATTTCAACGAGTGACCGATCACGAAATGTCAATAGGTCTTTTTTTGTTTATCCAGATGGTACATACATGGACTTTTATGATAGGTTAAGACTCTTAATCACATGCACTAAGAACATAATGATATGATTAAGCATACATGATAATTAATTAGAAACACTGATTAATCGAATAGTTTGCTTAATTTGACACTAAAAAATAAGGAAACCCATCTTTAAGGCTCATATAATTTTTGACTATTGAAAATTGGAATGGTGCAAGTTTATGCTTACCCAGAAAACAAGTTTTGAAAACCTCTTTACAATCTCTTTAAGACAGAGTTCTTATGAAACCTGCGAAAGTAAGAGTCATTTTATTTTAAAACAAATCATACACAACTGTCAAAAGAGATGTAAAAGCAGAGTTCTAGATGAAATCTCATAACTTTTATAATGTCTTATGGTTTCTTGAAGCTTCCTAAGTATCAGTCACGGTTTTCCCTAATGTGGTCACAATATATGGTGAATAGATACATTGCAATAAGGCATGTTATAATGTGCAATATGCAGGGTTAAACAGGGTTTTAAAAAATTTGATTACAATTTACCACACCTTATTGCAGTTTTGGCTAATTAAGTTAAATTTTGATTTGCATTTAACAGAAATTCGTGTTACCACTTTTCATTATGAAATACTTCCTCACTTAAGATTGATGATATACTTCCTCATGTGAAAACTTCATTAGCTGATACCAATGTTACTCCAATAAATTGTTTCGATTTCGTGTTTGTCAGTACTTGGTTGATTTATGTTTTTCATAAATGTATGATGTCATAGTTGCCAATGCCCTGCACTAGTTTTCCCCCTTAAAAATCATTCATTGGATTGTACACCCAATAAATTCAGGTAATCAGAGCCCCAGACTTACCGACTGTAAACATTATCGCTTATTGTTCACAGACTTCTGTCGAGGGATCTGATTGGCTGTATTTACTAAGGTACAATCCAACCAAAAGTTGCATAATTTGCAATCTTCAATGAAACAAGAAAGCTTGCTATTATTGCAGGAAACAGACAATTGTACTCTTTTCGAAACACCTTATGGAACTTCTCTTTAGAGTCTGCTACTGTACCAGGTCCACATTTACTTACCATTTTGCCATTCTTTGGATGAGATTTATGATTGATAGAATTGTCTTGCTTGTACATTTTGCATTGCTATAGCAGTAGGGCTGCAACGATTCACCGATATATCGTGATTCTTTCCTTCTTATGGATGCATTGTGTTAGATGAAAATAATGGCGATGTATTGCCTGATTAATTCTTAGCCCCGTTAAATAACAAATGACAAGCATCCTTGTGTGTATAAGAAATTGTGTCATGTTTTCCCTAAGTATTATTTTCACAACTTTAAAAAATTGAGATTTTTTTCACAATACTTCTAAATGTTCTCATGAAAGTGCTTAATAGTGTTAGTAATTTTACATATTTCTACTAGATGTTTTATCTTTCCTTCTCTAATAAATAAATCCCTTAGATATTGCAATGAATCGTATATATAGTGTATCGAATCAGAACTTCAAGATGGTTGCAGCCCTATATAGCAGTCAAGGTATAAGACACAGTTGGTAATAGGTTGATATTGTGAAGATGAGCCAGACCTATAGAGTGGTGTTTGTTGAGAGTTTATGTTAGTTGGAAGTATAAATTGATTAGAAGAATGACAGGAAGATCGTGGGAGTTAGAAGTTTATTGATTAAATTCCACCATTCCCTGAGACTCCACATCAACTACTGGCAGCCTTCTCAATACTTAATATTGTTAGTTTATATTCTAACCATTGAACGTGATACCACATAAACTCATTAAAGGATTTAAGGCTTGCAATTGGTTTTAACAAACTTGATTTTGCCATTTTTGGATATTTTCATGGTATTTTGATAATTTGCTCACCGTTGAGAACTATTCTCAATTATTAATTGTTATAACGTGATACCACAAAGGATATTAGCCTTGCAATGGCTTTAACATAGCTGATTTCTGATTTTTTTGCCATATTTGTTGTTATTTTTGTCGCATTTTGACAATTCGCTGATTAGTCAAGAGCCTTTCTGAATTCTTAATAAGGGAGTGTCATAGTTAGTAAAATTATTGAAATAATCGATTATCGTCACTAGGAATTTATAAATTTATAAATCTTACAATTTCTCCCCTGTACCCGTTAACAAGTAGTAATCTCATCCACATTGGTTTCCTTCAGCACATAACCTACCCACAATAAACTATAATAACTGATCAAAACAAGAATACAAAAATTACCCAAAATTCACAGGGTTTCTCAATTGAATTATTTTGATTATTAATCGATTATTGATCGGTAGTCTACCATTGATAATTGATCTCAATTTGGTAATCGATACCCAGACCTAGTACCGGGTAATCATATTATATCTGTACACAAATAATTGCAGTAGCGACCAGCAAAAGTACTTAGAGGCCATCTTTCGCCATTTTCGGGGGTTGAGTTGGGACTTGAATATATGTAAATAGTCTTCAGAAATATAAGAACTGCAAAAAATCGCATAAATCCTTCAAAATACCTCAAACTAGGAATTTCACTTTCTATTTCTATAGGTGTCTTTTCTATAAGCTTATATGGCAGAGTTTCAAGAAAAGACGAGTTATAAACTTTCATTCGCACATAATTCTGGACAAACATAGATTTGAAGACTCAAACTTGGTTAAAAAATTCCCATATCTGAGACTAAGATACGATTGGTCAAATGGGTGGGGAATCTGTCCCTTTAACAATTTTTTTGTCACTGCATATTTAATGCTCAGAAATATTCAAACAGTTGTTACTCAGAGTTTCAGGCCGTGTGATTCTCAGACATCTGATCTATTTCAGTCTGTGACGTTACTAAGGTGTGACAAGTTGTACTTGCTTTTATGTCTGGACCTCGAGACAAGTTTGATTGCACACCATTTAACTGTGAAAATGTTTTAATTTCACATTTGATTTATTGCAGCAGCTTTTTCAGTTATCAGACCAAATAGTATTAATTAAGTACAAAAATGTTTCCATTTCAAGATCACCTTGATGCACCTTGTAATTGAGTTTGTCAACTCAGCAATGTTGCTTTCAGAGAGTGGTCTACTGTTCTTTGTAGTGTGTTAGACACTTGCTTACTAACCTGAAGGTCCAGGGTTCAATCTTGGCATAGGTTGAAATAATACCTTCAGATTTTTCAACCTGATTTCCCTGTCAGTGATGCAGGTAAGAGAGGCTGACATGGATAACACGTCTAGTCGTTCGAATTGGACAATATACCGAGGCCCAGTGTGCTACATGCTGTGCATGTTAAAGATCCCTCGACAGTTAGAAATTGAAAAAGAGCAGGTTAATGCCACTGTCCTGGCAAAATTTCTCTCATTGCACCCTGCATGGCGTTGCCCGTCTTCATTAGCCCACATGGTGCAGAAAAGTAGGGCGTAAAACTCCATTCATTTCATTTTTTATTTTTACTGTTCTTTCTAGACAAATTTCGTTCATTGTACACTGAATTCCATTTCCATTTGCCCAATCAGGTGGAGAAAAGAAGACATTAAACTCCATTTCAATTTCACTTCCTTAGTTTTGAGATCAAATAGTACTTAGAAATTTTACTCTATATTAGGAAACTAGAGTTCAATAATAAAATGAAGTAATGGGTACTATTTTCGGTGACTAAGATCTATGTTGGAGTCGACAAGATTTCTATAACCAGCTGTTTAAAGCCTTTGACTAATCAATAGATCGATCCAGTCTCTTTCCCTCTAGTGTAAACAACAGGTTTTCAAGATTGATACTTGATATTGATTATCCAGTCTTTTTTCTCTGTAGTTTGCTCCACAGACACTGTTTGATTCCTTGGATTTCAATCTTCATTCTTTGTACTGAGTGACTTGGTTTCCTCTTCTCAGTGTTGGTAAATGAAAGAGCCAAAGTGGTAAAAGATCTGTTTTCCAAGTGTTCACTTATGTCCTTGAAGACAGGATTGAACCTCATGAGTCCTTGAAAACTGGCATGTGGCCTTGAGCATTCCTGAAAACTGACCGTAAAGTCCTAGTTTATGTCGTCTTATATAGAGATTCTATTCTTCTGTCATGGCGCCTGGTTAGTCCAAGTGATGAATAAAGTTTGAAACTTTAAATTTTATGTCCATTCTAAGAGATGGTATCCTAAGAGTTATGTCAGACAGACATATGACAAAAGTCTTCTTGGAAAGGCTTTTCCCAGACATAAAGGATATTAAATTGAATATTAACAACTCCAGAACTATGAGGAAGGTCTCTTTAAATTTGTAAAGTCTAGATTATCAAGTCCTCCAATAGTTGGACAATATCACGTATAGAGTGTGACTCAGTGTAACAGCTGACATACTTGAAATGACTAATGATCTAGGAGAAATAGTTTAATGCATTGAGTAATTGACAAAATTGCATAAAATCTCTTAACTACAGAGCTCGTTTAACTAATCTAGCTGGAGTTAATTACACTATTACTGAATGTTGTTAATTAAATGCATGAGAGAAGATTGCTAAGACACGTAAAGAAAAAACACTAGCTATTGTATGGTTTAGTTTTTCTTTTGTTGGTTGGTTAAACATTTATTTGTGCATTCAGGGTATGAAAAAAGCCAAGTGAGAAAAAAAGAGATTTCTTTTAAAGGCATAAAACCCCTTAGGATGACAAAAAAGTTGAAATGCCTAAAGGGACAGGTGCGCCATTTTGGGGGTTGATTTGAGTCTGGAATTAAGTCATCAAGAGTATTCGAAATGTTTGAAAATTGCATAATTCTTTCAAAAATATCTCAAACTAGAAATTTCTTTTCCTATTTCTATAGATGTCTTTTCTATATATGGCAGGGTCCCAAGATAAGATGACGCGTCTTTTTAACTTTCAAACACCGATAATATTAGTGATTGGCTGAGCTTAAAAATCCTGTTTCTGAGATTTAAGTATCATTGGTCAAAAACCTGTCCCTTTTAAATTGGCCATCAGTGGACTTAATGATACAACTATACAGCAGAATCCTCTATAATCCTGTAAATTATACAGATTATTTTTAGACTCTGTGTATCAGGGCACACTGGTAGCATCTACTTGCACGATTCCAATTTTCAGAGGTCTTTAAATCATGTAATCATTGCCATGCCACTAGAAATAAGCGTTTTTATGATGTTACTGTTGGACAAGCTGCTAATAATATCTTCATAATAGCTGGTACATCACTTGTTTTTAGTGGAATTGCTGGAATTAAAGGCGCCTTGGTTCAAAGTGATGCTATCAGTGTCTAATAAATTGAAAGAACCATTTATGTGGCTTAAACACTGAAAGACCTCAATATTCACAGCTCATTTTTGATACACTGAAACACAAATTACGTCATCCGTCGATAAGATGGCGATGTCATTTGAACGAAAAGCCAATTTGACTTCATTAAACACTTCCTTAACACCGAGAACATCAGGAATAATTCCCTAACATCTATACTAAGCGTTTGGTGACTGCTTACAAAAGGAATAAAAATCTGAGTTATTGTGACCTAGGCCAGTGCTTCTGTAATAGAGTATCTCTTATAAAACCTTATACCGAGAAAATTGGCTTTAAAGTGCCCTTTAGAAATGTATGAGGTAAAATTCATGTAAAAATATCATTAAGTATCTTGATCAATTCAAAATTTAATTATGTAAAATATGATTAGTTTTGAGTCAGTGGGATTGGAGAAGGAGCTTTAAAGATGTCAAGGTGGCGATTGTATGCATTGACACGACCTTTGTACCTTTTCAAGGTTTGCATTATGAGCCTCATTCTGGATTCAAAATGGCCGACGCATGAATAAGGTCTATTTGAAAAGACAATCTTTTGGATTATTCTCCAATCCTTTTTTGGTTGATCCATCCATTAAAAGTTTATTACATCACATCATTTGCTTGGTTACCTCAAACAAATTGTGGCTGTGGGTTTATGTCTCGACCGGCATGTGAAATTCTGATGACATCATCACTCGTAATTCCAGTCAATCCAGCTGTAAATGGGTACGGGTAATCCAGGAAAGATCAAGAGGTTTGGTTAAGGGCCAGCCGGTAGAAAGGATCCTTAACTGTGAAGTTTTTATCCTTGTAAAATATAGCTGTTTCTGTCTTTTTTACAACAGAACTTACTGTTTGTAGGGTAGAAAGAGTGATCAAATTTCTTAATTGATTTACCCAATGAGGTACTGGTAGCCTACATAATGTTGCTAGCAAAACTCATTTTTATTTCATTTGTATTTTCTAGGTAATGCCTTGATAAAATGTGGCCAAGCAGAAATAAAAGTGGGTACTGCAGAAAGAGAATTCGTAGCCCAATCAGTTAATAACTATCTTCAACCATTACGAAATTTCCTGGAAGGAGACATGAAAACCATCATGGTGAGTTATTGCCCTTGTTTTTATCCCAAGATTAATATCTCAGACATTTAAGCTTATAAATTTTATCACTTGAGCTGTTTCTGAGAAAAGATTTTTTTTATATTTAAAGTTTTTTTAAAAGATTAATTTTAATTTTACACTGTTTGAAGCTACAATTTGAAGCTCCATCAAGGTGGTTTGAGCTTAAGATAACTTTAAGCTCCAGCATGACAATTTTTATCCCGAATCAGTTTTTAGCTCCAGTAGTTTAATTTGATAAACCTGACAGATTGTTTTAAGTTTCAGAGGCTTCAGTAGCTTCTGAAGTCTAAAAACTTTTTAAGCTCCTACTCGTATCAATTATGAGCTTAAAAACATTGTCGGATTTGAAGAGTCCAAATTATAGTCACTGAACCATCCTGGGTCATCTGAATTTCAGAAAGAGAAGAAGCTATTGGAGGTTAAAAGATTAGATTTGGATGCAGCTAAAAGTCGATTAAGGAAAGCCAAATCACCAGGTGCTCAGCAACAGGTAATGTATAATTTTAATACTCTTGGTGTTCAGATCTTTCCTAGGTGTGCTTTAATTTTCAGGTTTTGGTATACAATATTTTTCAGCATTTTTTATGTAATTAGGCAAATAAATCCGTAAACAGCAATGATTCTAGGCTTAATGCGAAATCTACATTACAAACCATGTAGGTTGTTCTCAGGTTCAACAAAATCTACACTCTACACACCCAAAATACTCTCTACTTGAGTGCAACATAATTTACACACAAAGCAATCTACACAGGTACAACATAATTTACACACAATACAATCTACACAGGACCAACATAATCTACACACATAATCTACACAGGACCAACATAATCTATGCACAATACAAGCTACACAGGACCAAAATAATCTAAACACAATATAACCTACACAGGACCAACATGATCTGCACACAATATAATCTACACAGGTACAACACAATCTACACACAATACAATCTACGCAGGACTAACAAATTCTACACACAATATAATCTACACAGGACCAACACAATCTACACACAATACAATTTGCACAGGTACAACATAATCTACACACAATACAATCTACACAGGTACTACATAATCTACACACAATACAATCTACTCAGGACCAAATAATCTATGTACAATATAATCTACACAACTCTACAATTTACACGGATACAAGACATAGTGCAATCTACACAGGTACTGGTACAACATAATCTACACCACACAATCTACACAGGTACAACATAATCTACACACAATACGATCTATACAGGTATAACATAATATACACACATAATATACAACCAATACAATCATTATCTACATGTAAGCTTATACACTGTAATCTACACACTGTAATCAACACACAACACAATTTATATAGGTACAACATAATCTACACACAACACAATTTATATGGGTACGACATAATCTACACACAACACAATTTATATGGATACAACATAATCTACACAATACAATCTACAGACAATACAATCTTAACAGTTACAACATAGTCTATGCACAATACAAGCTACATAGGTACAACAAAATCTACACACAACACAATTTATATGGGTACAACATAATCTACACACAACACAATTTATATGGATACAACATAATCTACACAATACAATCTACAGACAATACAATCTTAACAGTTACATCATAATCTATGCCCAAACGCAATTTATATGGGTACAACATAATCTACACACAACACAATTTATATGGGTAAAAAATAATGTACACACATATCAGAAATATGACATTATAGAAATGCCAATGAACACATAATGTGTTTTGTCCACTATTCTATAACTAGTTAGAATTAAACTGTTATGTGGGTGAGCTCCTTTAATAACACAAAATTGTAGATTCATTAGTTGCTCTAAAAGAATACCACAGTCCTTTGCTGAACTGGTCATATGCAATCAAGTAAACAAAGGCTTTATTTGTTTATTGGCACAATATTTATCTGATTGTCTTATCAGAGATTTCCCATTGCCTATTCAGAGTGTATTACAATTCTGTTAATTACATTGTACTGTAACCATAGTGATCTGTATACAACCATTGATGTGTTATATAACAGTCACTGTTGGTTGCTATACTTTTCTCTTCATTAGCCAAATCATTGTTATAGAGTATAGTTGTTGGTAGAAAAAGCCTGTTTTTAAATAGTTAGCCACTAATTGAAATTAGCTTGCAACATTTTGTTGAGTTTTTGAATTGTATGTGAACTTATATGTACTAATTTGTACAAATTGAATAACCAGTCTATTTATATTCAAATATCTCCAAGATTGTCTCTTAAGGAGTACAAAAATTCAAATATAAACTTATAGTGTTAAACCTTTAAAACATTACTAGTTATTATAGTCTTATACAATCAAATATGTACCACATTGTACAAATCAAATACAAACTTAAAGTGTTAAGCCCTAAAACATTACAACTTCTACTTACTCAGTTTTATACTAATCAAATACATACCAAGTTGTACAAATTGAATACAAACTTAAAGTGTTAAGCCATTCAACATTAAACTTTTCTCGTTATACAAATCAAATACAAACTTGATGAATTAAGACTATAATATACAAAAAAGTTGTAAAAATCAAATACAAACATAAAGTGCTAAGCCCTAAACCATTTTAACTTCTACTTTCTTTCCCTGCCATATTCAAAATTTTATCCTATCTACAAATCCTTTTACAAGTCCCGATTTTTTACACACTAAATTATAATTTTAAAAAAATACTTGATTCTCACCTTAAAGACAATTTTCTGCCAGTTTTGCTATCAAAAATAAAACTGGTTGCTAAGAAAATTAGAAGAATTGAATTTAGAGGGGATGTTTGTGTGCCTTTGTATGTGTATATAAGTAACACTTATATTTTCTATTTGCACCAGATTCATGTCCTACTGCTGATGTATGTGAAGCCGATATGATGGGTGTGGTGCCAAGCAGGGTATGCTTACTCTTCTAGACACCTGATGCCACTTTTCATTATGAAATACTTTCTCACTTATGATTGATATACTTCCTCATGTCAAAAGTTCATTAGCTGCTACCAATGTTGTTTGGATTTCGGGTTTCGTTTTGCAGTTCTGATCATTAGTATTTGGTTTATTTAATCCAACAATTCAAGAAAAATTTGACCAGATTAGGACATCATGGATGGCATGCAAGCCTAAAATTATGTCATCAGCTGGTCAGGTTTTTTCGAGAAATACAGAAACCACGGGAACCACAAACAGCAAAAGGGAAATCAGAATGGTGCTAATAGAAGCTATAAGTGTTCCACATAAACATCATCTTCGCAATGGTCAAGATAGTATGTCTTCATCTTATACCTTGACTGCAAAGGCCCACTTTCTTGTTTCACAGAAGTTTGAGAATACAGAAATTTGATTGGCTAAGCCAATCTGGGCCCTCGCCAGAAAGACTGTAAAAAATAATTATGCATGAAATCGAGGCCTCTGATTGCCTTGGCTGTATTCACTGGCATACAATACAATTAAATGTTGAAAGTTATGAAACAAGAATAGTGGCCATTGCAGTCAAGGTATAAGATGAAAAATTCAATACCTTGACCATTGTGAAGATACATATAATGCCAAGAAAATATTTTTGAAGAATCTCTCTGTGCTTATGTCAATGTGGCCTATGTGTGTGTTAGCTTGTCTGGCTTCTTGCTTTGCTAGCTTTTTTGAAAGTTTTTCTTATTTGATAGCCATTCTTCTGAAAACCAGTCTGGTGGAATTTTAATCTCACTAAAGGGATTTATGAATTTTATATTTTTCTTGTCCAAATTCTACGCCAGTGATCTAAGTTTGGACCTTCCAAAATTAAGCATTGCTTCGAGAATCAAGTATTTTTTGTCATTGGTCATCTTTAGTTTAAAATCCTCCTGAAAATACCAATTCTATCTCAATGATTACTTGTAGCACGCAACAGGATATTTGGGAGGTTGTTTTCCCCCAGTCTTACCAGCTGAAACATGGGAAGAACGCCAGGTAATGTCACCTTACCAGCTGGCAAACATGCAACATCCAAATTACTTAATCCATGCCCTTGAGCCTATATTGAATGAATCTTCAGTATCAGCAACAGAAGCTCAGTCTATAGCGATTGAATCTTTAGTATAAGCAACTGAAGCTAAAGTCAAAGCTCTGAGCTAAAACAGAGCTGAAATGTGTCCATCTTGATCCATTCAAGGCCGTATGAGTTAGTCAACATCTTGCCTTTGATACACATACATCATATCTATATTACCAAGTTTGATTGGTTGATCTATTTCTTTTTCAACCAATGAAATTTTGAGATTCCCAATTTTGAAATTTTTCTTGCACTCCATAAGAAACATAAGATTGGCTTATTTAAGAGTGGTGTAGCTAGGATCAAAGGATATGGAAGATCGTGGTGCTGTACCAAGATGGAAATAGACATTGACCTTCACATATGGCCAAGATGGATTAATATGGCATGTCTTGAGCTTTGTGGCGGTTTCAAAGCAGAAAAGATTCAGAGTGCAATTTCTGCGGCATGTTAATAAAATGATGCAGGAAAAAGTGCTGTGCACTCTATAATCATGAAAGCTGATGAACCTATGCTATACATAAATACCATGAGAGCTTTGTATAAGCTTATTTGATACAAAAAATACATACGATAAAATTATATTGTTACATGTAATAAATAAATTTGTTTGAATGGTAAATGGCAAATATTAAGACATACTAGCTTACTATGTAACAAACGAAAAAAGAGCAATATTTTAGTGTAGATGAAAAAAATGGATTAAATTAATTCATATTCATTGCCCTCATATGCCCTTGTCTCCTTTCCTTTTATCTTCCATATTTGACCTTTAACCTGTATTGGGGCCTTATTCACAAAAACTTAACTTCATCTGATTGGTCAATCTCTAAAATTGGTTTTGAATTTAGTTTTATTAACCAATCACATTACAGTATTTCATCTGTATTTTTTGGGGCTTGGTTATATATAACATGCCAGCCCTAAATTCAGCGAAACCCTGATATCTCGCCCAACTGGGCTGGCCCACCACATATAACCAGGCCCTTAGTTAAGTTTTTGAGAATGAGGACCCCCAGTGTATATATATTTTGGTAACTGGTATAATTATTAGCTGTATTTGATATACATGTATGATATATTAATGATATTGTTATATTTTATCAGTATATTTTTCAATGGGGTCTGTTTTCTTTATTCTTGCTGCTCAGACTGATATTCCTCATGACTTGTACTATATGGAGGTCGGTCTTTACCACTCAATATTTCTAGCTTTTAATGTTGTCTGTAGAATCTAGGCATTCACTTTTTGATAAATTTGACCTGCACCACCCTGCTCATTTTTTTAATTGCTATATATATATATATATAGTATATGACAAAGAAATTAATTGGAAGAGGTGTTTTGTTTCAAGAGTAATGTTGCAAACACATTACCACATGTTTTGG